TGTCCAAGTTACTGGACCGACCCAAAAAGGAAAATCATCTATCACGACATGGAAGACTATTCGTCTCTGCCGTCGTATTTTAAAGGATACCAAACAAATCAGTATCAGGCTTTTTGTGGAAACTGGATGTTGCGAAATCCATCACGTCTTCTTGATTATGGGGATATATATATTTCCATCAATCCAATGGTAAATACTAACATATCATCGTTTTATCTATACGCAGCACTGTATATTTAAGTCTCTGTCTGTTTCTTGGAAAAACAAAACGTTCTTACTTCATTATGTAAAAAATGGAATTTGAAAATTTTATTAGTACACAAACTGATGTACTTTGAATAAATCGGTTTGGGATGCCAGACGGAATATGCTTTACTAGTTTGGTGTGTCATAATACACCCTCATACCAAACTTTCGAGAGAAACAAACTTGAATTCTTATCATTCAGAGGCCTTGTTTTTCGACTAATTTCGATGAAGTCTCGTTAGAACTGGTAGTGATATAATACACATAATTGATATCAGACGATATATGCTTTTCGACCAATAAGAAGCCCGTCAATGCACTGTCATTTTGTATAAGAGCTAAACAGAGGTTTCATAAGAAAGATAACTATATCTATGTTTTGACCAATGAGAAGCAAACTGTCTGGGGTGTTTTTGTTGAAAAAGTCAATGCTCTATATTATCATATAATCATCTCTAACACCAGTCGTCATTACAATTTATAAAATTAGCAAACAAAATATAAGCCCAATTTGTCACAGTGAATAAGCATCCTTGACAGCCAACTTTGATGCCCGATGGGCTCATGCGACGCTTTTCACATTCTTAACATCCTTACAGATGCTCACGATATTTCATTGGTATTTGTTAAGCAGTTTTCGCGAAAACGTTTGAAAACAGAATGTTGCGACAGAAGAAAAGCAGCAAAAGCAATTAGTTTGCTAAAACGTTTTAGGGATCTAAAACTAAACATTGTTTAGGGTAAAGAATCTTTTTTTCCCCCAAACACCATTATTTTATGTTACGAGTTCAACACTTAATCCAACTTTTTAACATATATTTTAAAATTGTTATCAAAGATACGTTAATATTGACTCGGCCTGGGGTCTTTGTGAATGCAAAGCGAATATACAATAATCATCAATTCAATTTACTATCTTTGAAAATGCATTAAACAGAAAGATAAATGTAACCGACGTTGCTACCAAAACTAATGCTCTCGCGAGCGATATGTTTTGCTTTATTTATGATTAAGTGTATAATTAAAATTCCATTTATTGATTATTTGACAGTTTTGTATGGCGTTCAAAGGCTTCATTTCCTACGTTTATATGGAATTCACTTACACAAACAGCAATGGCAGAGAGATACAAAGTAGTCATAACTTCATCAATCTCGTCAACTCATCGGAAACTGATCAGTATGTAGGAACGCTCAACACGAATAAAAACCCTTCAATAAATGAGTTTTCAGGAGACAAAATATTTCATAGAAACGGAATTAATAATAGAAAAAGTAAACTTATACCCTAGTTTTCTCGACAATATCCTGTAAGATTAATTTCATAAATCTCATATGAAAAGAAAACTCATATACCCTCGTATATTATGAAACAACCGTGTTATACAGTAGCATATTTATATTGATATATAACTGTACGACAAAATGTAAGGTATGCGAAAATATATATGAAATGTTGGAAAAATGCTTTTCTTTACTATTCCTAAAATGATATTGTATGTACAAAAATTGACAACCACACGATAATACGTTTTATTGTTTAGACTTTGCTTTGACTTGATAAATATTTATTTCGCAGATGGAACTATGCTTGCTACAATTTACAAGACAGTATAACAACAATCTTCTCTGACGCAACCATCATTATTCTGCACAAACTGCAAATCGGTCGTGAAGGGGATGTTCTTGTAGATGACGTTTACTTCGGGCAGCACGCTACAACGTTGGATACAGGTGAGACAGACATTTTTGTTTTGATAGATGTATAACATCACCGATTTATAGTAAATGTGTGATTTCTAAATGTAATGAGACTTTTTCACAACTATATAACAATTATGAAAGACAATATCTCCCTTGACAATGCCTCACTTTTGGCCATTTGTTGAGCGTTCGCCCATGTTAGGAAGGCCTTGGGGTTCTGTCCCCTGGCCGAGACATACCAAAGTCTTTAAAAATGGTAGTTTCTACTCCTGCTTAACGCTCAGCAAATTGGGAGTGGAACGACTGGTTCACCCGTTGTCAGTATAATGTGACCGGTTGGGGCGTCCTGCTAGGTGTCTTCGGCAGTATGTTTCAGTGAAGTAGCACTATAAAGTCGGCATCAGTTCCGCGCTATCACAAGGAGACAAACACGAACATATCGCAGCCTCCCAAAATACACACACATACACGCTTGCATCTTGCACACAGGGGAGGCCGTCCTTAAATGACCTTAGCTGTTAATAGGACGCTAAACAAAATCAAAAAAACAAACATTATATCAACATAATCAACCAACTTATTAATATATTAAACAGGTGAATTACACAGTGTATTTCTCCTCTTTTTTCTTATTGAATTTTTATTTTCAAACAACAATTATGGTACATGAGTAGATGAACACTTTATGTTTTCTTACAAAAGTAAACAAGAAGTATTTAAAAACTTTTATTATATGCATGAACATTTCTGGCAATCACATTGATCGGATCCTATACACGTGACCAGTCCTCAAAA